AAGGCAAAAGGAAAGGGAAAGGCAGGGAGGGAGGCTTCCTGGGAGGGAGAGCGAACTGGGTCCTCCGTCCTAAGAGTTTTAAGGGTGGAGATTTTCGGGGAGGTCCCAGGGGAAGATCTTAATAGAATATTCAGCAGTTTTCCAGGTGTGTCCTTTTGGGGTCTAGGTCTCCACTGATTAACTAGTGGGTGAAAACTTTCCAAATTTGGTGTAAGACATAAATCTACTGATTCAAGAACCTCAGTGAACCCCAAATAGAATAAACCCAAAGAAATCCACGCCCAGAAACATCATAATCAAATTGCTTAAAGTCAAAGATTAAAAAAAACTTTTTAAACAGCCACAAAAAAGACTCATTACGTAAAGGGAAACAATGATGTAAATGACTGGAATTTCTCACAGCAGAATTATCTGCCAAAATGAAACAAGTGTCCATCAAAAGGGTAAATGGATAAACAAATTTTGGTGTATCCAGACAACAGAAACTGCTCAGCAATAACAAGGAACTATTGACACACCCGGCAACACAGATGGACCTCAGATAATTATGCTGACTGAAAAGAGACAAACATGAAAGAAAATACGATCTATAGTGACAGGTAACAGGTCAGGTATTGCCTGGGGATGGAAGGAGGTGCAGGAGGCACTGGAGGGAAGCATTGTAATGAGGCATGGGGGAACTTTGGGGGATGCTGGATGTGTTCACTATCTTGATCACGGCGATAGTTTCACAGGGACTTGCATATGTGAAAACTTATGTTGTACAATTTAAATATGGGCAATTTATTATATGTCAATTATATCTCAATAGAGCTGTGCTTTTAAAAAGTAACGCTTGATATGGGCCACACATGGGTGAATCTCCAAAATAACATGCTGAGTGAAAGAAGGCAGACACAAAGGAGTACACGCTTTATGATTCCATTTACATAACATTCTAGAACAGAAAAGAATGAATCTATGCAAAGAAGGAGAGGAGGAGGGGAGGAAGAAAGAGGGAGGAGAGG